GGTTGGAATTATTTCTATCGCCTGAGAATACTTGATAAGAATGCTTGAGATGATGCTATTTCTTATCTTTTATATGACTTCTTTTAAAATATTTAGAAAATTTATTGAACTCCAGATAAAATTTGTTTTATCAAAGACTATACATACACTAGGATAAAATGAAAATTCAAACCAAAATAGAAAATAAATTTGAATAAAAGCGTTGGGTGCCTGTTGTCAATAGTAAAAAGCACCCCACGATTTTTTTCAAATTTATTTTCTATTTTTTAGGTTGGTTTTCTATAGAAAGCGTGTTTTTTAGTTTTTTTAAAGTATATTTTTATTTTTTATTTTTTAAATTATCATGTCATCATATCATGTCATCGGCCCTCGATATATCTACAAAGTTTGAACGAATTCTGACCGTTTAAAGTCAGTCAAAATCACGCCCAAAGGAGTCGGTTACAAACATACAAACAAAATGAGCCGTCGTGGTACTTCTGGCTGATTTGAAACATCGAAATTATTTTGTAGAAATAATGAGTGTGAAAGGATAGCTTATTACCACACCCCATAACATGTTACATATACTAGCGCGGCGACACATTTCGTGACAATGCGTCTTCACGCCAACAGCTGGTCTGATCCTCAACATTAGATGCCTTCCTCGAAAAAATCTAAATATTTTTAAACAAAAAATGTACTGGGTAACATCATTGACCGGATACTTGTACCTAACAGACGTGTTGCGAAATACCGTCGCCATTGCCGAAACCGTTCGAATCATCATAATCATCACTTGTACCTAAACATATTAGTGTTTTTTACTTTATCATAGTCTCATGAAGAGACAAACGATAATCAATTTCTTAATTGCAGAAGCAAGCCTTATACTCAACAAGAATAAAGTAATAGAACCAATTTTGATGCTATTATTTGCTAAACAATGCATATGTAATCTAATCACGTAATACTTCCTAGAGATGGCTCATTGTATGTGTCTCTATCGTACAATGACGACGTCATCATCTGAATCAAAATTTAAAATAATTGTTTCTACTTGAAAAATTGTTATGAACATTTTTTTGAATCATACTCCTTAGAGAACATGAATCCTGAAATAAAATGATCATAATTTTCATGTTTTTCAACCACTTCAAAAAGGAGGAGGTTATCAATTCAGATGTTTATATTTTTTTATGTATGTGTGCATAGACGGATTTTTAAAATTATTTTTTTGTTCCAAAAGGGTCCCATTTAAATTTCATATAGATCTGATAATGAGTTTCGGAGACAGAAAGCGGAACTGTTAAAAAAATGACAGAAAATCAACCGCGATTGCTGCTATAGTTAAACCGCCGTAAGCTTGGCCCTCCTGAAATTTAATACTGTAAAATAATTTTAATAAAATCACCTTATCTTCATCATGCAAATTATATTCAGATACAATTTAAATATTAGTAAAATAATAAATATTCTTTATTAGAACTTTAACAGTAGAACCTCTGTAAGCCGAACTTCAAGTTTTTAAATCTTTTTGTGACGAAGAGTCGGCAGATTATCAATGTTGCAAAATAATACCGTGTGTAAGTCTTAAGAAAAATAACACGTTCAGCCATGCTTTCACGTCAGTCACTGCCGGCGGACAGCGACGCACTAGCTAATTGGTTGAATGCACCCCCGCCGCGCGTCCCCCAAACCATCAGGAGGGCCAAGCTTACGGCGGTTTAACTATAGATTTTATAGTCCATCAACGTCGTGCGCGACCGTCCTGCGGGGTGACAGACGGTGGCGGGGACGAGGTACTCAAGATGTCAGCGGGTAGCGGGTGGTGTAGCGGGGAAGGGAAACGCTTCTCTTCGTGTGTAGCCGTGTGCTAGAATGACGCGCTACCTCGCCCCCTTCTCTCTCGCTCTCTCTCTCGCGCTTCTGTTCAAGCATTTGTGTGCATGAACATTTAATGTTTGATTTGGTCTGGGTGTTTGTATGAATAATAAGTATGTATTTACTTGTATTTATATCAGTTGTCTAGTAGCCATACAGTACAAGCTCTACTTAATTTGGGGCTAGATGGCGTTGTGTGAATGTGGTAGAATATTATATTATAAATACGTGAGGAGTCTATGGACCCCCGTTCGGAATAAAGTTCCTTTCGCTTTTTGGTAGACGTATAACAAGAAATGCCGGAAAAAAAATCTTGTTACACATTTTTTGGCGGTCTTGTCTAATCCGATCAGTGCGTATAACGCGTGAAAAGAAAATTCGTTGCAATAATATAAAATGCTAATATTAATATTAAAACTGAAGTATGTTCTCGTGACAATATTCGTTATTGACATTTCGAACTAATAAACTCCATCTATTTAAACTGTGTGTAATAGAACCGGTGTTACGGTCTGCCGACTGCGCGGTCACGAAAGCCGATTCAATATACTCGCCTTATCCGACCGAGAATCAAACGTGATCAGAATAATGTGAATCTATTACAGTTTCCTGTGTGTCTTATTACAGATATCCTTTGGCCAAAGAATCATTTGTAATAAGGTAAGGAGAACACATAGTTTAAGTCATTTAATCGAAACTGTGAATCATGATGTTACTATTATAGTTAAACCGCCGTAAGCTTGGCCCTCCTGATGGTTTGCGGGACGCGGGGCGGGTGATGCGCTCGGCTATACATGACACGATGTACTAACTCGATATCTTCAGATTTATTTAATTGAGATTTAATCTACACACGATTTAATAAAAATCGAATTTATTTCCATGTATTATAATGTCAGTGTATTGTAAGTTTTTATGATTAATTGTAAAATGTAATACTGTAAAATAATTTTAATAAAATCACCTTATCTTCATCATGTAAATTATATTCTGATACATACATACATATAAAAATTAAGTAAATTAATAAATATTCTTTATTAGAACTTTAACAGTAGAACCTCTGTAAGTCGAACTTCAAGTCTTTAAATCTTTTTGTGACGCAGAGTCGGCAGATTATCCATGTTGCAAAATAATACCGTGTGTAGCAGTCTCAAGAAAAATAACACGTACAGCCATGCTTTCACGTCAGTCACTGCCGGCGGACAGCGACGCACTAGCTAATTGGTTGAATGCACCCTCGCCCCGCGTCCCCCAAACCATCAGGAGGGCCAAGCTTACGGCGGTTTCACTATAATAATGTAACAGACTAGCGCATAAACTTATTGACCAGGACAGACCCGACGTAGCAAAGGCATGACATACTTCTAATAAAGACTTCTAACGTCCATCTACTTATTTTCTCTCATATTATTTACTAGCTGAGACCCGCGGTGTTACCCGCGTTTGTTGTTATAACCGGCAACGCCGCGGGGCGAAGCTAGTCTAAAAAAAAGTAGCCTAAGTTACTCCTTATGTCATCAGCTATCTGCCAGTGAAAGTCCCGTCTAAATCGGTCCAGCCGTTCCAGAGATTACCCCGGTACAAACAGACAGACAGACAAAAATTAAAAAAAATGTTATTTTGGCATATGTACCGTGTAAACATACATATGCATTTAGTTAAAAGCGGTTATTTTAATATTACAAACAGACACTCCAATTTTATTTATTTGTATAGAAGATAAATATACTTTCTACTTTAGTCCACTATTTTGGATGTAATAGGTTTGGTACCCTCGAAATCCGAAGACTGGTTATTTAAATTATTTCGTTTTTTTTATGTGGAGGGTCAGACCAGCTGTTGATGTGGTGACGGGTCGCCACGCTATGTAGTTGTATATTATGTACCATGTAATTCGGTGTGGCGACGCCATACGGAAGTGACTCTGCGACTCACTCACTCTGATTTTCAAGGTGATCTCATACTCATTATTTCTACAAAATAATTTCGATGTTTCACATCTGCTAAACGTCCTGGACGTATGACGACGTTCCTCAAAAGGAAAAAACATAACCCTTATAGAATTACTTTATTGTCCGCCTGTTCGTCTGTCAAGACCCTTTATCTCGTAAATGCATAGAGGTATCAAAATTGAGATTAAAACCATATACTCTGGTCTACAGTCCCTTAAAGCTTTTGAAAAAAAACAATCTTTCTTTTTTTTCTCTTGTCATGAAATTCTCTTGAAATATTTCTCTTGTCTTTTTCAAAAGAAAAAAAAAATCTCTAACAAGTACCTAGTTTAACAATTCATCAGTGTTTTTTCAAGGCACTGAATAATTTGACTAATATAAATTACTAGCTGACCCGGCAAACGTTGTATTGCAAAACAAAAAAAAATTAGGGATGTGTCACCCTTACCATTTAGGGGTATGAAAAATAGATGTTGGCCGATTCTCAGACCTACCCGATGTGCACACAAAATTTCATGAGAATCGGTCAAGCCGTTTCGGAGGAGTACGGGAACGAACATTGTGACACGAGAATTTTATATATAAGATAATAACTTCACACATGTCACACACGGCCGTCTGATCCCAAACTAGGCAGAGCCTGTGCTATGGTAACCAGACTGCTGATAAACATACTTATATATTGTTAAATACATACATATAATAGATAAATTACACCCAGACACAGAACAAATGGCCGTGCTCATCACACAATATTTGTCCTGGGTGGGAATCGAACGACGATCACGACCTCCGGCTTAGCAGTCAGGGCCTACTAGACCAACAGGCCCGTCAAAATAATAAGCAAGTAATTAATTTTCATAAAACGTCTTATTTTTAGCATTAAAATCGTAAACTTTTTGTTCTATGAATATAAAACAATGTTGAAACCTGTAATAATTGAGATTTCAGATTTGTACCTGCTTATTATTTTATCAATGAATTCTGGGTATGTTAAAAAAATACTTTTAATTTTACCATTTTAATAGGCTTATTAAGATTTATACATAAACATTTCTTACAATTAAATGCAGTCACAAGCCGATATTCCATGCTTTGAAGACTTATTCTTCTTCTTCTAATAAGACTCCTTACAAAACTTTGTTCTTTTCCACGAACACAGACTTCATGTAGTTATTTCAATTAGGCGATTCCCTTTTTATCCTTTATGCCGATAGCTTCTGCTTGCTTAACGTTATCGGGGAGTACGTCCTCAGATGTGTCAGGCATTAAAGTAACAATAGACGCAGTAACCAGCGACAAGACTCCCACCAGGAATGATGGAAGACCCGACCAATAGACAAACTGTAACAGATATGATAAGCTTATTGACTTATAAATTGATTTTCTGAATCACTGAAAGAACGAGCGAAATTAAACTGTGACAATGTTATTCCAATTATGAATGAACATAGATATAAGATAACATATTATACGGTTGGTAGAAAAAAAAACCGGTCAGGTACGAGTCGAACTCGTGCGCCGAGGGTTCCGTACCTACCCAGATTTTACGTACATTTTCGCGAAAATTTGTGACTACTAAAATTTATCTTAATTTTCAACTTTTTTATTTTTTGGAATTATTCCTTTATTTGTGCTGTAAGACGTTTCTTTTTGCCAAATTTCGTGATTCTAGGTCAACGGGAACTACCATATAGGTTTTCGACCCAAAACCTATAGGGTACTCCCGGTTGACCTAGAATTGTCAATTTTGGTCAAAAGCAAGGTCTTACAGCACAAGTAAAGAAAAAATTCTGAAAAATAAAAAAAGTTGAAAATAAGGGTAAATTTTGGTACTTACAAGTTTTCGGGAAAATCAAAATTTGCCCATGTCTTTTTATCGTGTTGACTCAGGACCTAGATTTTTATACACCTAATTGGAACAATAGAATTCAGTATCTGGTATAAATTTCAACTTGCTAGGTCTACCCGTTCCTGAGAAAATCGGTGGTGACACACGGACAAACGGACAGACGGACAAGAAAGTGATCTTATAAGGGTTCCCTTTTTACCTTTTGATCTACGGAACCCTAAACATGATAGAATTCATTTCGAACATATTATTATTATATCGGGAATAAACGCAATCTGTTCGATTCGGTATTAGATATCTTTGAATTTTCTAACCATTCTATCAGGTTGTACTAACCTGTGGTAATAGGCTGGCTAAAATCCGTCAGCCTCTCACATCATTTGACAGTCAGATCAGAATCAGGTCAGATCAATTAAATCTTACATTTTAAGAAAGAAAGAAAGAAAATACGTTTATTAGTCACAACACAAACACAGCCAAAAAAGGAATTACAGATATAACATAGAAGAGAAAAAGAAAAGAAACAATTTGCTCAACTGAAGAATAGCACAAACAATAACAAAAACAATCAAGTACAAAAGAATAAAATGATCACTGTGTGTGACTACTTTAATTCAATCAATTTTTTTTTACATCATCATCATGAACAGCCTTTAATAGTCCACTGCTGGACATAGGCCTCTCCTTAGAAAGGAGGTTTTGGCCTACTAAAGTTTTTTATTTAATACAAAACATTAGTTCATAACATAACACGTAGCCTAGGATTTTCAATGTAATCATGTGTGTCGCAACGGAAATATCATTGATACAATTATCAACTAGTAATGGGTTTTAATAAAATATGTAAACTTTACATATAAACAAGTGAAATAGTTGCATAAAATCCATATTAATACCGCAGCAATAATATAGAAAGGAAGGAATTGCTGAAAGAGGTGGTAATGTTCTAACTGATTTGGAAACTTATTTACATGAACATGTCACAATAGCAACAGATTAAAAACAGGACAAATATGTCGTTAAACCTATTGTACTCGTATATACTCTTAAATAAATACAAGACCTAATCTTTACACTAAATGTGCTTTAAGTACTATATTCTGAATAATATATATATCTTAGCGAATTGATGTGGCGTCTCCAATCACTAAACCAACATATGGGTACACAACCCTGTCCCCGGTTTCAATACCCTTTTCCTATCAGTGATTTGTGGTATCCCTTACGTTAGCTTTACCTATTTCCCTAACCCTAAATAACCTTCTTTCTTAGTCCCGTCTGAAAACGATAATATTCCCAAAGAACGTTGGCACTAGGCCAATAGGGCCGGCCCATAATAAAACAAACAAAACCCTAAATAGAATCAAGAAAAAGACAAGAAAATTATAATTATTATGATGATTGTATTGTAAATTTTGTGTTAATCTTACCAATAAAGGAGTTAAAGGAGCTAAAATAGCACCAATCCGTCCCAGCGAAGAACATAACGCAAGCATCGTATTTCTCGTATAGGTCGGAAATAACTCCGTTGTGTACAGATAAGCCATTTTGATTGTGATACTTGAATTTATTTTACCACAGACATAGAGTAGTGTAGACAGCCATCTGTAACCTATTGAAGAGAATTTTATTATTGATTATTTGTTATAGCATTTCATATGTATTATCGTTTGCAGGTGGGTTGGTTTACATAGGACTAAATTTAGATTCCGCCACTACATAAAATTAAATTAATTAATTTCCATATGACGTATAACGATCAAACTACTCAACTATATTTCTACATAATGTTTTCATTTTGTCACAGAAGTGAATTTTTACCTCAGAGGAATAATTCAGAGTTAATTCATAATATTAATGGAACTGCATCTGGTACTTTTTACTTTGTTATTTTTTTTTTACCTAATATGCATGCCTACTAATGCATGTTTTTTTTAATTTTAATACTATCGTAGATTACGTTATAAAACAAGTATTATGCAGGTCGTTATCATAACATTCTGACTTTCAAGCCTAATAAATATTTCATATTATCATATATTAAATATTTTTACATTATAACATATTATAAATGAAAAAGATGATGGTAAAAACATACTAGGAAAAATTATGGTCTTTAAAAGATTACCTTTAGGCACAAAAGATTGTGAAACGCAAAACACTCCAGTCAACGTCAAACAAAGGATCAATGGTGCTTTCCTCTTGAATTTTGTTAACACATATAATAGAATAGCACCGGCAGCAGTGCTAGATAAAGACACCAATCCAAAATTGACGTATTTGTTACCTTCCAATGAAACAGAGTTTATCAACAATGAATAAGCATTAAACAGGGAAGTAAACCAAACACAAATACATAGTATCAATCTTATGAACAACTTCTTAGACGAAAATGTGACATGAAGAGCATGACGTAGAGTTGCTTTTTCACTGGAAGCATCTTCACTTTTTAAGTTAACAATCTTAGATTCTTCTATAACTATATTGTTTATCTTAGCTGCTTTTCTTATTATTTGTTCTGCTTCTGTTTTTCTGCCTTTAATCAGCAGCCACCTCAGACTTTCATCTAGCCAAAATATGTATAGAATGACAACGAACGCTGGTGTGTATAATAAAATTAAGAACATTCTCCAATTTGGTGCTAGGTAAGCTATAAAAGCCATGAGAATGTCGCCCATTGTACCTGATGCCGATAGCAGAAATATAATCATTGGACGAGTCTCTGTTGTTACCATTTCCACAGCTGAAATGAAAGAAATTCATGAACTACTGAATCACCCTTTACAGAATGTGAAACTGTTTTTACTTATATACTGACCCATAGTATAAGTAGTTGAATAATTGTCTCCAATCATTGGTTCTAACATTTCAAGAGCAATAAATAGCCAATACGATGTGACCATACTCTTTGATATGCCGATCACACCAGTTATGAGTGTATTAAATATAAGAACCCTTTTCCTACCAAATCTGAAAACAAAAACGAAATAACCTTTAAAAACACACTTACATAAACACACCCAAATATGGCCAACTATAATTTGGTTTCTTTATGGAATTGGGGTGCACGATCAGGTTAAAATATCTGTAACTTTAGACGCCGAAAACTCCATCCTCACTAACAAAATGTTTAAAAAAGAAGATAGTTAAACAATATCAGTATTATTATTTAACATTGTAATAGAAAAACTAAGTCTAAGAACAAAAACGTAAAAAAAAAACACCCAATGAAATGAATCATCAAAAAAAGACAACACTACATTTAGACGTGCCATTTAAGGGTCAGACTTGAAATAACACTTGTAAATACGTAAGCGGATATATCAGAATGTTTTATAATATAACAAATAAAGTTTTATGGATAAATATGTCATGTATGAGACAGAGAGTATGTAGAGGTCTCGAGTGGCGACCGCGTACCGGTAGCACAGGACCGGTTGTTATGGCTAAGCTTGGGGGAGGCCTGTATTCGGCAGTAGAGGCCTTTCGGCTGAGAAGAAGAAGAAGACATGTCTGGGATCGAACGATAAACATGATAATTCTATAAAATGCCCTCAACATACCAATTTTATTGACAAATTGGTATATTGAGGGCATTTAATAGAATTTGAACCGTATCTTGCTTTTTCTTAATACACTCCATAATCCACTTCTTATTAATACTTTCTTTAAGCCTGTGATCCATAACAACAACACTCGTAGGTAGAATAACTCCTGACAATATAATGCTATAATTGCGTTAGTGAGTTTGTTCGTTTTGCTTTCACATCTGAACCGCGTTCAACTGATCACCATAAGTGTTTTCAAAAATTCGTAATGGAACATGAGGTACCTGAAAAAATGTACTTTCTATAATATATGTATTTGGTCCTGAAAGATAGAAATTAGAATAAAAATCAAGGATGCGGGCGAAAACTAGTATATTTATATTTTTTAATTAATAAAACTAAAGGACTGGCGATATTTTTAAGATGTAATAAAGGTAAAAATTAGGTCTCTTAAAGAGGTTGTGCGGTCCATGTCCCTTTACGGGTGCCCAGTATGGGCGGGGGCCCTGAAGGCCAGCAACGTCGCGATACTGCAACGACCGCAGCGAATGGTGGCCATCAGGATCATAAGGGGGTACCGCACGATCTCCTTTGAGGCGGCGAGTCTCCTGGCCGGAACTCCACTGTGGGACCTGGAGGCGAGAGCCCTTGCGGCTCTGTATCAGTGGCGCAAGGAGGCGCAGGAGTTGGGTCGATGCCCCGAGATTCGAGAAATCGATGACCGGAAATCCCAACTCCGCCAGGTCATCATAGGGGAGTGGAGGGAACGACTCGGGCAACCGAGCGCCGGGCACGCCGTCATTGCGGCGGTAAGACCCGTTATGGAGGATTGGCTCGAGAGGCGTCACGGGACCCTCTCATACCGATTGACGCAGGTGATCACTGGGAAGGGATGTTTCGGAGATCACCTGTGTCTGATCCGCAAGGAGCCAACGCCTGAGTGCCACCACTGCGATGGCCAGACCGTGGACACGGCTCTCCACACGCTGGCAGAGTGCCCGGCGTGGGTTGAGCAGAGGCGAGACCTCGTGGCGGCCATCGGAGTGGGAGTTCTCTCGCTCGATAGCCTGATTGCAGCTATCGTGCGGAGCGAGAGTGCGTTGAACTCTGCCGTCTCCTTCTGCGAGCAAGTTATGCTCGCGAAGGAGACGGCGGAGCGGGACTGGGAGAGGTTTAGAACTCTACCGGCCCGCCAGGCCCGGGCACGGGCCAGGCAGCGCAGGCGACTCAGGCGACTCAGGCGCCGGAGGTCGCAGAACGACCTCCGTCCTCCATAAGCGCAGGCCTGGGGGTGACAGGTGAGGCCATCTGTCACCCTTGCAGAAGCAGGCCGGGGTGGCGGCGAGCGCGTTGCGAAGCGCGCTTGCTTCCAGGGAGCACAGGGAACATGGGATTCCCACACGGGGGGGGGGTCGTCTACTCGTCTGTAGATGACCCGAGGTATGTCGGGGCACCAGGGACTTCCTTTCTAGGGTATACCTGGTTCCCCGGCTATTAGTACCCGGCGAAGGCGTGCGGTTTTAGTCGGTTCGAGTCCGACATGCCACCGACAGGTGGTATCCGAGGGGATTTCCGCACGGAAAAAAAAAAAAAAAAAAAAAAGGTCTCTTAAAGAAGGTTTGAAAATTTGGAACGAAAATAAGTAAACACTGAAAATAACATAAAGATAGTAAATGATTCTATAGAATAAGCTGACAGTATAATTTTAGGTTTAACTCTGGATAGATTTTGTAACTAGAAATAACACATAATAATGTTTGCCACAAACTAAGTAGATTTGTCTAGCTTTGTACCGTGTCCGATGAAAAGACTGCAGGTATACCATATAATGGTTACGTAGATTCAATCCTTAGATATAGGGTAATAATATGGGGGAATTCGACTGATGTTGGTCAAGCATTCAATGCGCAAAAGAAATGGTTAAGAGCTGTTTATGGGTTAAGTCCACTTAACTCTTGTAAACCGTTATCTAAAAAACCATAATTTGATGACATTGACATGTATGAATGTCCTTAAAGTATCAATCTTTGTTAGGAAATATAATATGTTTTTTTTTTATTCAAGGGGGATCATGTTCCTAAATACAGACCAAGAGATCCTACTAAAATAATGATTCCATTTTGTAGAACAACTTTCATGAAAATTAATGTGTATCACATGTGCATATCAGTTTTCAATAAACTTCCTAAGTGCCTAAGGGAACTTCCATTTAAATATTTTAAAATTAAGTTGAGAAAATGGGTAGTGGATAAGTGCTTTTATACGATCAAAGAGTTCATGCAGTAAAAAACAAAAGTATCTTTGTTGTAAAGTTTAATATAATGTGATATAATAATCTAATATATAAAATTCTCGTGTCACAATGTTAGTTACCATACTCCTCCAAAACGGCTAGACTGATTTTTATGAAATTTTGTCTGCCTATCGGGTAGGTCTGAGAATCGGCTAACATCTATTTTTCATACCCCTAAATGATTGATCCATCCCTAAATTTTTTTTTCAATATTTCCTAGAAATAATGTATACGAGTATATCAAAACAAAGTTTGCCAGGTAAGCTAGTAATTTATATGATAAATGTGTAATAACATTTCTTGACATTTTGTTAATTTTATTAGTTAATATCTTTATGAAATATCTTGATGTTTTGTTATTAATAGTTAATGTTTCAATGTAAATATTTGCATGTCTAATACAAGCAGAATATAGCTTGAACAATACACCGCTTTTAAATCTGGTACCACCTATTATACCTATTCTGTGCAAATAAGTGTATTTTTCTTTCTTTCTACTAATCGAAATCATGGCGATGTAACGCTTAAAGGCGTTACGGACACGGCGGTAAGGACAAGCAATTTAAAGCCAAAACTACCTACCTACTAGAGCTATTGTTTATACTTCCCAATATCCCTTTTCTACAATCTCATCATATCTCACCAACTTTTCCTTTCATATTGAGCTACTAATATTCCCTCATCAAGTACAGAGCCTAGTTGACGGAGATAGGCGACCTATAACGTAAATTATAGCTGACATAAGTCGCACTTTAACCCGCCTTTGCCTACTTCTTCCAGCATATAGAGGTGATTGAATACTTTCTTCAATCAATAACAAAAACATTCTTAGGTAGCATAACTCCTGACAATATAATGCTATAATTGCGTATAATCCGTGTGGTGACGGATTAAGAATACGGAGTGTCACCACCCCTATTCATCCCGTGGATGTCGTAAGAGCCGACTAAGGGAGCAAACTACGCAGGACAACAACACTGCAAAAGAAGGTAAACTGGACACAAACCCTATCTCTAAGCCGTCTGGCTAGCGTGGTATTGTAGCCCAAAGCCTCTTTTCTAAGGAGAGGCCTATGTCCAGCAGTGGATTATTAAAGGCTATTGATGATGATGAATTGCGTTAGTGAGTTTGTTCGTTTTGCTTTCACATCTTATCACCATTAAATATAGTATAAGTGTTTTCAAAGATTCGTAATAGAACATGAGGTACCTGAAAAAATGTACTTCCTATATGTACGTGGTCCTGAAAGATCAAGGCTGCGGGCGAAAACTAGTATATTTGTATTCTTAAATTTTTAAGAAGATGTAATAAAGGTAAAAATTAGTACTAGTTGACGGAGATAGGCAACCTATAGCGTAAATTATAGTTGACATAAGTTGGCACTTTAACCCCCATTTGCTTACTTCTTCGAGCGTATGGAGGTGAGTGAACGTCTCAGGGTCATCTGTATGAGGTATTATCTTGAGTACGTCAGTGATAAGGATATTGGTGGGTCGAGGTCATGAATTACCTTTTGTTTCTTAAGTTCAACATTATATCTATTTCAGTACATACATATATTATTATATACATATGTATGTAAATTGAAAATGATTCTTAGATCCTGTTGATCAAGCGATTAGTGACTCGCCTGTTCGTTCAGTGGTTAGTGACCCTGACTGCTAAGCTACAGGTCGTGGGTTCGATTGTGTAATGAGCATGATGTCTTTTTCTGTTTCCGGGTGTAATTTATCTACAATATGTATATATTTAGAAATATTTAAGTATGTTTATAAGCTGTCTGGTTACTATAGTACGGGCTCTGCCTAATTTGGGTTTAGACGGCCATGTGTGAGATGTTTGAGGTTATTATTATTATAGATAGTTTCAGGCGTAGCATTCCACAAGCGCGCAACTTGTCCTGAGAACATTTGTAAGTAAACGTACGATTCGGTATTTGATCTGAGGATCTCAAGTGCCTATTGTGTAATAAATGTTGTAGTACTTGAACTATCTAAACTAGGTCACTTTAACTGCTACTAGTATCTGTATTTGTAATGCGTTATCGCTTTATATGTATATGTAATCTTGAAATTTAAACAATGTACAAATAATTCAACATCAGCTACAAGGTCTCCTTTATGGTGCCTTTTGGTGATAATAAGAATACAGAGTGTCGCCCCCTTTTTTTTTTTTTTTTTTTTTTTTTCCGTGCGGAAATCCCCTCGGATACCACCTGTCGGTGGCATGTCGGACTCGAACCGACTAAAACCGCACGCTGTCTCGGGTACTAATAGCCGGGGAACCAGGTATACCCTAGAAAGGAAGTCCCTGGTGCCCCGACATACCTCGGGTCATCTACAGACGAGTAGACGACCCCCCCCCCCCGTGTGGGACCCCATGTTCCCTGTGCTCCCTGGAAGCGAGCGGCCTGCTTCTGCTAGGGTGACAGATGGCCTCACATGTCACCCCCAGGCCTGCGCTTATGGAGGACGAAGGTCGTTCTGCGACCTCCGGCGCCTGAGTCGCCTGCGGTACCTAGCCCGTTCCCGGGCCTGGCGGGCCGGGAGAGTCCTAAACCTCTCCCGGTCCCGCTCCGCCGTCTCCTTCGCGAGCATAACTTGCTCGCAGAATGAGACGGCTCGGCACTCTGCCAGCGTGTGGAGAGCCGTGTCCACGGTCTGGCCATCGCAATGGTGGCACTCAGGCGTTGGCTCCTTGCGGATCAGACACAGGTGATCCCCGAAACATTCTTTCCCAGTGATCACCTGCGTCAGTCGGTATGAGAGGGTCCCGTGACGCCTCTCGAGCCAATCCTCCATAACGGATCTTACCGCCGCGATGACGGCGTGCCCGAGAGTGTCGCCCCCTATTCATCAAACAACAACATCGAACAACAGTACTGCAAAGAAAAGGAAAACTCGAAACCAATTCTATAGCAACCTGTCTAGCCAGCGAGGTTTAAACCTCCGTTCCAAGGAAAGGCCTATGTCCAGCACGGCTATTGATAGCGATACGATAATTATAATAAATTAGTGAGTAAACTAAACAGTTGCATTTATATTTACGACTAGCTGGTACCCGCGACTTCATTCGTGTGGAATTTGAAAACCGCTGCCTTCGTGGGTTCGATGCCCGGCACGGGCAAAACTTTATAGGGTTTTTCTGAGAGGATAAATAACCTAAGTTACTCCTTATATAGACAGCTACCTGGTGTTTAGAAGAGTACCCGAACAAACAGATAAACAGACAAAAAACAATTAAATTTGGATTTTAGGCATAGGTATCGTGCAAATAACACATTTAAGTAACAATAATAAGTATGAAAAAAACCTATTATTTTTACATTACAAACAGAACACTTCAATTTTATTTATTTGTATAGATATAGATTTCACTTCAAAATCTATAATTTGCCAAGAGATTATTATATTAGTGTCCGCCATTTAAAGACTTCATCACCTTCTACTCCACTTTCATAACAATATATAAATATCAAGATTCTCCTAACGCAGTTTACATACCTATCTGACAAAGGACCCATGAAGAGCAGACCGATCATGAAACCAATACTGTGCGTTGTGCCGACCAGGGTCCGTTTCCAGTCTTTACAGCCAAGATTGAACTAGAAGAATAACAAAGACCTAATTAAAATACTGCGAAATCTTCTTGTAAATATAGGAAATTCCTTTTAATATATTTAACCTACTTCGGCAACGAGGCTATTAGGTTTGTCATAGATCCATTCCGAGCATTCAACGCCACTGGACTTGTTAAAGTTGTCTTCTGTGCATGTTCCATTAGGATCAAGTAACTCATATTTATGGCATTTTTGGTCTATTGTAGAATTAGCATTCAGTATTGTCAATTCGGTGTGTTTACAATTTGAGTATTTACATCTGCAAACAGATAAAAAGGTAATTAGATTCATATTTTGGATAAGCCGTAGCATGCAAGCCATCGGCACAGTCCACCACGGCCTCAAAGAAAACCAGTATTAGGCGTTCCTTTCGTTGCTTTTCACTAAGTGAATGAGGTTATAGGAGCCTCCCTCATCCCTCTTTCCAATTCAAGGCCACTCAAGGGACTGCAATGTACATGTGTCTCTTGTATAGCAGGTGCCCATAGGCGCCCATCAAGTGCCCCGTCCTCGTCGTTCGCCCCTATGCCATAAAAAACGTCAATTATATTTATTAGTTACTCAAGTTTTCTGTTTCTGTTAGAAGAATCCGTAAACAATGAAACATTAAAAACTTTTTGAATTGAAAAAATATAACGTTGATTAAAAATTAAAATTTAAAATTTTGCTAATGACCAAATTTTTTTCTTTTTAAGCGACAAGACAACTCGCGCACTAGTAACAAATCAGGTATCGCGGGGGACTTTACAAACATACATGAAACGGACACAACGATCAACATGATTTAGGCCCGTATTTTAAAAGGTGTCTCAGTCGTGAATCTAGTCTTAAAACTAATTTTAAGTAGAGATTTTATTATTGAACGTCACTTAAAACGAGATTCACCGATCCATACTCAAGTGAGTGATACCTTATTTTAGAACGATGTTTATGTCGAAATCATTACTCAGGTATACATTTTGACAGCTGTGATCTTTGTTTACGTGAGACAAGCTGAAACTAGTCTCAAGCGGTGATTTCTAGGGCATTTAGGGGAAATGAATGTGTTTTACGATGATTTCTTTTTGAATAATTACGAAAGATTTACTTTACTTTTTTTACGAAAGAATTACTTGGCATACTATCATCAGTTTCACTTTCATTTACCTTAATTGATATGAAATTCACCAAAATTCACATTTTACACACACAATACCAGTTTAAATTACCACAACCTTTTGGTTTATGTTAAAAGTATAGTAATTTAAATTTTAGAAATATCAAATAAAAACATCGTTTGACATTTCAACATGACAAGTGTTGATAAATAACTTGAACGTTCCGTTATAGCCTATTCATACAGCTAGTCATTTTTATTTTAATATTTATTATACTTAATTTTGAACGAACAACAACCTTGTTAATATGTTAACATTGCTACACTAGGCAATAGTATATTATGTACAAATTCACAGAAATTATTTTTGTAAAAGAAAATTATTTTTTAAATAATTAGCTGCGTAATGTGGAATAATAGTGTCAATCACGCGGAAACGTAATTGAGAACAGACTGTAAGTTCAAATCAATACTTGAAACTAGTTTCAACTGAGTAAAACTTAAAACGCGTTCTATAATAAGATCGATACTTAAGATTTGATCTGCACTTAAAACTAGTTTCAGGCAATCAGAGTTCAACCGACACTTGAGACGTCTTTTAAAATACGGGCCTTAAAGCCATAATTTGTGGATCACACTAAATGTTGTCCCAAAATATTATCGAACCTACAACACTCCGCGTAGCAGAAAGCAGGGAGGTGACCGCTTTAACCACTACATCATCCATGCAGTCAAATATTTTAACACTCAATTGTTTAAGATTTCTTTATTCTTCATTAAATAGTACCTGGATGACTGAGCTTTGTTCGGATTTTTTTTGGCCCCCGAAACCCCCTGCATACTAAATATCATGAAAATCGTTGGAGCCATTCCCGAGATTCAGATTATACACATAATACAAGAATTACTCGTTTAAAGATATTCTTATATATTCTCGGTTATAGATAAATTTAAAGGTAATTCTGCACTATGCATGTAGCTTGCGCATGTTGAGGCACCTGCAGATTATTTGCTTCGGCTATGGGTCCTACGACTCGAGCATGTAACCCGCACGAGCAGCATGCACATTACGTGTAAGTAAACACGTGTAAGTAACTCGTGCATGCTACTGACGTAAAATATGTATAAATATATAATATACTAGCTGACCCGGCAAACGTTGTATTGCAAAACAAAAAAAAATTAGGGATGGGTCACCCTTACCATTTAGGGGTATGAAAAATAGATGTTGGCCGATTCTCAGACCTACCCGATGTGCACACAAAATTTCACGAGAATCGGTCAAGCCGTTTCGGAGGAGTACGGGAACGAACATTGTGACACGAGAATTTTATATGTAAGATATATATACCTCCATCAACATATATATGTAGTTTTGGTAAACCTACTTACTTGTTTTGCATAATCTGTATAATCATATTTAAATAATTAAGTAATGAAATAATTTTTAAATTATGATGTATGGCAAAATTAAATTTAATTATAATTAACTATAAAGTAAAGTAAAATAGTAAATTTATAGAAATAATTCTATAAGTACTTACCTATAGTCGACGTTTTCTGCCGAAAATATGTAATTTATGGGGAATCCCGAAGTAATAAATGATAAAAAACTTATAAGAAGCAAAAATCTCATGTGATATCTACCAGATATTTTTAACTCACTTAACACATTCTCTAAATTACTATTCTGAGTCTCTGAAGCTGGATTCTTTTCTTTTTCATTATTAATATTTGTTTGTTTACTTTTCTCTTCTGCCACACTTTTTGTAATATCCGATTTAAAAGTAATTCTGCCTTCTTTTATTTCAATTTGTTTCATTTTGATATGTTTAGTCTTTACTTTTATTAACTAAGCAGTGTGATTAACTTAATTCTTACATTTTTTAATGTTATTAGTTAACATATTAACTGTTTCACTCACTCCTAAAGTTTAACTGATATACTCGCAGTCAAAGTATTTCAAAGTCAAATAAGAGGTATATTTATAAATGTACAAATAACAAATGATGTCTAATATCACCAAGAGCCTACTCTTATACGCCAAGAAAAACGATAAAACAATATACCAATGTCAACAATAGATACTTCAATGACAATTTGGTAACGCTTGGCCTAACAATGCAGAGGCTAAAAGATTCTTTACCTTGTGACTCGCGTATATTATCACTGGTTTTTACAATTTCTCTCACTTACACTTGATATTAGCGAGGAAATATTGCACAAATGATTTACACTTATTATTTAGAAGTGATGTAGATTAATGATCATTAATTATTAAAACTATCAATAAAAAAATAATTAAAAACAGTTTTTTTTCTTCTTTTTGGTTTTCAAATTAACACTTGTCTATAAATGAAAGAAAAAGATATTTGTTTAACGGCGCACGGCGCCGGCGCAGCAGCGCTATTATTGCATCTGCGGAGACTAACGCAAGTGGTAAATTAGATGTATGAGTCGTCGAATCGTACGGGGTTAAAACGTCACAGGTCCACAGCGGTCGAGCGACTGATTGGTAAAACTCGTGACCGAAGGCCACTGCATTTTCCCCGCATGAAGGCTAAGACTTAACATTAAACAAGACTGGTATGGCGTTGGCGGCTTTCTCAGAGCATTATAACGTAGAGTTATTCTATTACTCTGATAAAGTTAAGACTATACGTAATTTTTTTTTCCTTGGTATAAATTATAAGAGAAGATTTGTGACGTCGTAGAGAATTCGACAGCATTGCTAAGGATTGCTGGTTCAATTCCTGTTCAGTTTAAATACGAGTACTTTTGTATCTATATAGATTTATATCTTGAAATTTTGGCAGCTTTATATGCTTTTTATGTTTTTAGCGCCCACTAAGAAAGATTTAAAAAAAAACTCCCGCATTAGTAATATACGACGGGCCTGTTGGTCTAGTGGTTAGTGACCCTGACTGCTAAACCGGATGTCATGGGTTCGATTCCCACCCAGGACAAATATTGTGTGATGAGCACGGTCATTTGTTCTGTCTGAGTGTAATTTATCTATAATATGTATGTATTTAAAAATATATAAGTATGTTTATCAGCAGTCTGGTTACCATAGTACAGGCTCTGCCTAGTTTGGGATCAGGCAGCCGCGTGTGAGTGTGTGAGATATATTATATTATATTATTATATTATATATGAAACGGACACTAAGTACACCCAGACTCAGAACAACAATTTGTAGATCACACAAAGTGTCGTGCCATGTGAGGATTGAACCCACAGCGCGGCGCTTAGAGAACTACGCCGATGAGATTTTTTTTAATTTTACGTATGTAATGTAATGTTCATCATTTTCAAAGTTAGAAACATGAAATAAGGAACAAACACGCGAACGAAAACACGGGTAATAGATATTCTAACATAAAGTGTAAACTAATTTAAAATGCATTTTAATAGTACATTAAGCTCTGTTATACAAATAAATGAATGATTCTTAGATTGATCTAGACCTCTTAAGATTTATCTGAAGTCTAAAGTGGGACTTGATTGTTACTTATGATAACCTTCGCTAGTCAGCTTAGCCAATAAGTGCTTGTTTAAGCAACATAATTAATAAATACTTGAAACTATTTCAGTTCAATTTGCTAGTTATTAGATTAATACAACATTGTATTGCTCATTTTCGTAATATCAAATTTGATGAAAAAAACCTTAAAAACGTATCTAAAGACATGTTTTTTTTTTAATTTCTATACCGTAATTCATTTTGGAATACCATTGGCCAGTATAATTTGAGCTGTCACTTCAAGGACTTACATTTTTGTAAGTATAATGCTGTTAAATGTATTACGCAGTTGCAGGCGCATTATATAAACATTATATTTCACTAAATATAATGTTTATACAATGCGCCTGCAACTGGATATAGCCAATTTTAATAAAAATAATTACCACCTTAGTACTGTAACGATTCCGTGTAAAACAGATATTCTCTTGTGTTAGCATTATTGTATTGTACAGTGTACGGTCTATGTATTCAATATTTCTATATGTCTATGTATATTGAAATAATTTTATGTATTGCAGTTAGGTAGAAACAACTTCGAGGACGAGGTGAACAGAAGAATTCAGTAGGGTTGGCCAGCGTTTGGGAAGCTACGTCGAGTCTTCTCATCGTCGATCCCACAGTGCCTTAAGACGAAAGTCTTCAATGAGTGCGTACTACCCGTCATGACATACGAAGACGAAACGTGGACGCTTACGGTACGGCTGGTCTACAAGTTCAAAGTCGCTCAACGTGCTATGGAAAGGGCTATGCTCGGCGTTTCTCTAAGGGATCGCATCAAGAATGAGGTGATCCGGCAGAGAACCAAGGTCACCGACATAGCCTACCGGATCAGCAAGCTGAAGTGGCAGTGGGCTGGCCATATTAGCCGCAGAACCGACAACCTTTGGGAAAACGAGTTCTTGAGTGGAGACCGCGTCTCGGCAAACGTAGTGGAGGACGCCCACAGGCCAGGTGGAGTGACGACTTGCGCAAGATGGCTGCCAAAACTAACCTGTGACTAAATATTGATTATTTAAAAGAATGTGTATTTTTGGGATAAGATAGACCTAAAAAGCACATCGAAGTTACAAGCAAAATTTATCGTCTCAAGAAGATGGCAGAAGTTGGTTACGAGTCAAAGTTAGGGTTAAAATTTCTAAAATATGAAAGACCACACCTACTTAATTTTCAACTAAGTGAGAACAAGGTTATAGAAATTGTGTTACAAAAATCTAATACAGACAGAGAGACTAACGCGCATACGTCATATGAACATGATCAAATGACAATCAACCAAAATGTTCAACGCTCGTTTTGCCCGACAATGTATTGTCTAAACTATGCTTCATAATCCAATCAATATTTAGCATACTAGGCGCCATGTTGAAGATCTCCAACAAAGAAACTATTTTTGTACTTACTCCTTCAAAAATATTTACATATCTACTTGTAACAATATCGTTTGTGAACGTAAGTTCAGACATAATATTATTACATACTTCTCCGATTGCTTTAAAAAATACACTGTCTAGAGAATGTTAGTGACTTATTAAAATAACAAATGGCATTTAAAAACTTTTATAAGTTGTATTAATATTTACTGAGCGAAAACTCATTTCGGGATCTACCTTTAATCAATGTGTGAATCAGTATTAATTGTCTGAGATATAAGATCCAGAGTCCATTGGGGAGGGTCCGGTGTTCCTCTGCTTGTTAATGGCCGGGGAAACGAGCAAGATGAGTCTCGTCACTCGTTGACTCACAATTCTGTCGCAGACCACTAGAAGCGCACATGGAACACCACTGTGCGCTGCCTTTCAGGCCATTTCCTAAGGTGACTGGAAATAAACAAACACGCTCCAGCGGGTAGAAAGAGTGGTGCTGCGTTCTCTCTCCCATCCCGTCGGCACGTCCGTCCGTCCGTCCGTCGTCCCCACTCTTGCTCCGGACCATAGACAAAATCAAAGTCGGAAGCGAGACGCTATGCGCAGAACTGACTGCCGCGATAAGATCACGATGTAGCCCAAACTGGGCATTCCGCCAGCGTATGAAGTAGCCTGTGGTCCGGGCAGTCATCACAATGATGGCACCGTGACGTCGCTCCCGGGTACTCCGACACAAGTACTTGCTTCGGGTTACATTGGCCTCGAAGAAGCTCGGTGTGCTGAACGCACGCTTAATTATAATGCGCAACTGGAATACTGTTCTTATCTCTATGCAGGGGCACCGCAATACCAGCGGATGGCGTAGTGGTTTAAGCGGTCGCCACGCCGCTTCCTACTACGCCGAGTGTTGTGGGTTCAAACCCCACATGGGACGACACTTTGTGTGATCCACAAATTGTTGTTCTGAGTCTGGGTGTTCTTTGTGTCCGTTTCATGTATGTTTGTAAAGTCCCCCGCGACACAGGATTTATTCCTAATGCGGGAGTTGTCTTTTTAAAATAAAGAAAGAAAAAGTAAAGCTTCTCCCTCTGGACCGCATCCAACGAAGAGCGACTCCAATCGTCGATAGCCCAAACATCTCCGATCAGCTCGATCCCTTGGCGTTACTTGGCGTTAGATGTGGCTTCACTCTAAATTCTCTATCGCATATATCAAGGAGAGTGCTCCGAGGAATTGTTCGGGCTAATACCAGCCGCAACTTTCCGCCATCGTTCAACACGGCCAGATTTTCATCCTCATCACCTGGATAGTTTGCGCTCCACTACTGTGCGCCGTACTTTTTGACCCGCACAACCAGTCTGTGAAACGGATTATCGTCTGCGGTATTACCGGACCGATACGACCTTTAAACCTTCAAAAAAAGAGCGTACTCCTTCCTAAAAGACTGGCAACGTGTTTATGACTCCTGAGTTGCAGACGTTCATGGAGGGCGGTAGTAATTTTTCATCAGGTGACCCGTCTGCTCGTCTGCCCCCTCTAACGTAAAAAAAACCAGCGGTGTCTAGAAAGCACCTGCGTCAGCCAAACGGTGAGAGCTCCATGTTTGCTCTCCAGCCAGGACGGGTCTTATCGCCGCTATAGTGGCGTGCCCTGCACTGGGCTGCGTAAGCCGACGCTCCCACTCCTCTACCAAGATCAGACGGAAGTCAGCTCGGATAACCATAGTTAGATATTTTTCTGGTTCGATAATTTATTGAACATTATTAACACTACGCTCTCAATTTAATGCTATTTTTTAACAAGAGGGACTATCATTTTATTGACTAAAACAAAAGAAGACTATCTAACACATACCCCGAATAATTAAATATCAGTAATAAAGCACAAATTAATCTCATTTTTTTTATTTATACGTAAATCACGAAACAG